TCTTGCATGTTCCTCACATGTACCCCAAAACCTAAAATGCAATAAAATAAATAAATGGTAAGGAAGAGGGAATCCTTCCCACATCATTTTATGAGACCAACATCATGCTGATACCAAAACCCAGCAGAGACTCAACAAAAAAAGAAAACTTCAGGCCAATATCCATGATGAACACAGATGCAAAAATCTTCAATAAAATACTGGTAAAACGATTACAACAGCACATCAAAAAAGCTTATCCATCACGATCAAGTAGTCTTCATCCCAGGGATGCAAGGCTGGTTCAACATACACAAGTCTATAAACATAATCCACCACATAAACTGAACCAAAGACAAAAACCACGATTATTTCAATAGATGCAGAGAAGGCTTTCGACAAAATTCAGCAGACCTTTATGCTAAAAACCCTCAATAAACTAGATATTGATAGAACGTATCTCAAAATAATAACAGCTATTTGTGACAAATCCACAGCCAATATCATACTGAATGGGCAAAATTGGAAGAATTTCCTTTGAAATCTGGCACTAGACAAGGATGCCCTCTCTCACCACTCCTATTCAATATAGTATTGGAAGTTTTAGCCAGAGTAATAAGGCAAGAAAAAGAAATAAAGCGTATTCAGTTAGGGAAGGAGGAAGTCAAATTGTCTCTATTTGTAGACATGATTGTGTATTTAGAAGACCCCATCGTCTCAGCCCAAAATCTCCTGAAACTGATAAGCAACTTCAGCAAAGTCTCAGGATATAAAATCAATGTGCAGAAATCACAAGCATTCCTATACACCAATAACAGACTTAAAGAGAGCCAAATCAAGAGCAAACTCCCATTCACAATTGCTACAAAGAGAGTAAAATACCTGGGAATACAAGTAACAAAGGATGTAAAGGACCTCTTCAAGGAGAACTACAAACCACTGCCCAAGGAAATAAGAGAGGACACAAACAGATGGAAAAACATTCCATGCTTCATGGTTAGGAAGAATCGATATTGTGAAAATGGTCATACTGCCCAAAGTAATTTATAGATTCAACACTATCACCATCAAGCTACCTATGACATTCTTCACATTACTAGAAAAAAAACACCTTAAACTTCATATAGAACCAAAAGAGAGCCCGCATAGCCAAGACAATCCTAAGCAAAAGGAACAAAGCTGGGTGCATCACGATCCCTGATTTCAAACTATACTACAAGCTTACACTAATCAAAATAGCATGGTACTGGTACCGAAACAGAGACAGAAATGAATGGAACAGAACAGTGGCCTCGGAAGCAACACCATACATCTACAACGATCTCATCTTTGACAGACCTGACAAAAACAAGCAATGGGGAAAGGATTCCCTGTTTAATAAATGGTGCTGGGAAAACTGGCTGGCCATGTGCAGAAAGCAGAAGTTGGACCCCTTCCTGACACCTTACGCTAAAATTAACTCCAGATGGATTAAAGACTTAAACATAAGACCTAGCACCATAAAAACCTGAGAAGAAAACCTAGGCAAAACCATTCAGGACATAGGCATAGGCAAGTACTTCATGACTGAAACAACAAAAGCATTGGCAACAAAAGCCAAAATAGACAAATGGGATCTAAACTCCAGAGTTTCTACACAACGAAAGAAACAATCATTAGAGTAAACTCGCAACCAACAGAATGGGAAAAAATTTTTGCAGTCTACCCATCTGACAAAGGGCTAATATCCTGAATTTACAAAGAACTAAAACAGATTTACAAAAACAAACCCATTCAAAAGTGGGTGAAGGACATGAACAGACACTTTTCTAAAGAAGACATATATGAGGCCAACAAACATATGAAAAAATGCTCATCATCACTGGTCATTAGAGAAATGCAGATGAAAACCACACTGAGATACTGTCTTATGCCAGTTAGAATGGCAATCATTAAAAAATCTGGATTACAACAGATGCTGGAGAGGATGTGGAGAAATAGGAACACTTTTATACTGTTGGTGGGAGTGTAAATTAGTTCAGCCATTGTGGAAGACAGTGTGGCGATTCCTCAGGGAGCTAGAAATAGAAATTCCATTTGACCCAGCAATCCCATTACTAGGTGTATATCCAAAGGATTATAAATTGTTCTATTATAAAGACACATGCACACGTATGTTCATTGCAGCACTGTTTACAATAGCAAAGACCTGGAACCAACCCAAATATCCAACAACGATAGACTGGACAAGAAAAATGTGGCACATATACACCATGGAATACTATGCAGCTATAAAAAATGATGAGTTTGGGTCCTTTGTGGGGATGTGGATGCATCTGGAAACTGTCATTCTCAGAAAACTGACACAGAACAGAAAATAAAACACCCCATGTTCTCACTTATAGGTGGGTGTTGAACAATGAGAATACATGGACACAGGGAGGGGAGCATCACACATTGGGGTCTGTTGGGGAGGGCTAGGGGAGGGACAGCAGGAGGGGGATGTTGGGGAGAGATAACAGGGGAGAAATGCCAGATATAGTTAATGGGGGATTGGAGGCAGCAAACCACCTTGCCATGTATGTACCTATGCAACTATCCTGCATGATTTGCACATGTCCCCTAGAACCTAAAGTACAATTAAAAAAAAAAAAACTGAAACCTCAATATGAGGAAGACTGAGAGCAGAAGAGCAGTAAATCGCGTTCAAAGCAGAAGAATCAGCACAGGTGAAGTCAGCTCTGGAAGAAGTTAAGTATGGCAGAGTGTGCAGTGTAGGGTGGCAAGTGGGAATGGAAGAGAAGTGGCACCCTTTAAAGTGATGATAAAAAATCAGGACTTCATCTCAGAGCAATAGGAAACCATTGATGAGTTGCCCCCAGGGATGACATTTCAGGTACATTTTATGTACAGAAAATAGAAGGAACTAAATTGGAATAGTTACAATGCTGTCTCAGGGGACTGGGAAAGCTATGATGGTGTCATGAGTGGCAGCAGTAGAATGGGGAGTGGAGATTGAAGAGATCATCAGGAAGTTGAGCTTCTGGGCTTGGGGGATGTTGGTTTCTGGTTTGAGAAGCTACCTAGATGGTGCTGCTACTTATCAAGACAGGGAACCCCAGAGGAGTTGACCACAGACGTGGGTGTAGTGCAGGGAGAAAACATAATTAGCACATGAAAAGTGAACATGAAGAGATAAACAGAGGTGATTCAGAGAGGTAAAACAGAATTTCAGGATTTACCAAGATAACATTAGAACCAGGAGGCCAGTTTGGGAAGTTAGGTTGGGCTGAAATCACTTGACATTAATTTCTAGGTGTAGGAGCAAGAAGTTGGGCACTGATGAGCAGAACGTGCTGCTGATCTGTCTCATTGAGGGTGGCCCATAGATACCTAGTAGGATGAAGGCTGAAAGTTATTAGACATTGGGTTCGGAGATTCAAATATTTAAGCTGTTGTTACACTTTGTGTTTGGCCTTACCTAAAGGGTTCTTCTTGGAGAATAAATTCAAAGATTATTCAAGATACTGTTTTATTCAAGTACTGGGAGAGAGAGAAATAATTCAGGCTACCTTACATATGATTCTTCTAGTTTGTGGATAGACGAGAAGCTACATAAAAGGCAACCTGCACAGGAAAGGCACTGGACTCAAATTTTGGTTCCTAACCATTTGTATAAAACCTTGTAGTTTTCAAATCACTTTTATATGCATGCGGTAATTTGATCTTCAAAAAAACCTTGTGAGTTAGTAGACAGATAGCAGTACCCCATCTTGCAGCTGAAGCTCAGAGAGGCTATGACTTGCCTAACATCTCAGGTATATCTGGGAATTTATTGTAGAATTTCCAGTTTCTAGTCTGGTGTGATTTTTACTGTACCACAATACTGCAGCCAACACACCTAACCACAACTCTCACTGTGGCAGACTAGTTCCTCTGCGTGGCACACTGGGAATGATCCATTACTGATGAGATGAAGGGCAAGGTCTTTCTTTCCTTTTCATAGCTTTCAAGACATCAGACTTCTGAAGGCTTTTACAGCCATGTGGCTAAGGCTGAGATGCAAGAGACTCTCATTTGGGAAGCACAACTATTTGTTAGGTATCTTAGGTCATAATATTTGAAGCAGTGGGCCCTTGAGATCCAGGAGACTGGGTTGAAAATTTTCCCCATATCACAAGAAGCTGGGTGAGATGTTTTTTTCCTCCTCCTCCTCCCCTCCCCCT